GTTTCTTAAATTCCACATATGAGTGAAAGCCTATGGTATTTGTCTTTCTCTGGCTGACTTATTTCACTTAGCCTTATACTCCCTAGCTCCATCCATGTCGTTGCAAATGGCAAGATTTCATTCTTTTTTATGGCTGAGTAATAAGCAACCTGTTTTTTAAAAGCTTAACTTTTATTTATTTTAATAGTGTGATCACATAGCATTAAAGAAGTTGCATTCTTTTCTTGACTCTTGCTTTATACTATGTTGTATTATTTGTATTTATATAAATATTATTTTTCAAACTAGATAGAATAGGCTTTGAAGGCAAGGGCTACCATATCTCACACATTTTTATATTCCTATAGCAAGTATTTCTCAGAAATTGATCGTTAATGTAGTGAAAAAAGCCTAGAAGATGACCTTGAGCTCAAGTTTCAAATCTACCACTAGTCATTGGTATGACTTAGAACAAGTTCTATTACCAGATCTGTGAGTTAGGTATCATAATATCAGCTGCCTCATAGTGTTGTAAAGAACAAATAAACTTATGTGTAAAGGGCATTTTTTAAGGATGGAAAAAATGCTTTATAAATGTTAACTATTATCATGAGGAAGAAATGGAGGATAGAGGGAGGATATACTTTCTTCAGTGAAGAGGTATCTCATCTTACATTTTGGTTTAAATGTCATCTTTCCATAATTGTCCCACTGATTTTTTTTAGTAAAGAAAGGATCATCATCGATGTATCTCTGTAGCTATGGATTTTGAAGTGAGCTTTTAAGTAATTTGCTAAATTAAAGATTCGTGTGTGAAAGAATATGTCTTCCCAATTAAAACCAAAGTCCTTGGGATAACAGGGAGTGAAAATCTATTTGTTTCTGGTGTAGGCTTCTGCAATTTTTTCAGAAGATAGCTGCCTAATGAATTGAAAAGAAAAGTGCTTTTAGCATTAGGTCATGATAGAGGTGTCAGAACAGTGGTATTCAGGACAAGAGGATTCTACAGAGGAAAGGAAATATGACATAATCCATCACATGGTGAGGAGTACAGGTGCAGGTCTGGAAAATACATTTTCCCATCCTTCGCTTACTCGGCAGGAAATGCAAATATTTAAGAAAATAACATTGAATGTTTATAATTCTTCAGCTGAGATGGAAAGTTGCAGGAAAGTAGATTAAAAGAGTGAGCATGAACAAAAAAAAAAAAAATGGTTTCCAAAGAGTTTCCATGTTTAATCAGGCACTAAAGATAAGTAATGTTAATATTTGGGGTTTTCTTGTACAACTATTTCAGTTACTAGAATATTTAAGCAGGCTGTCCTTATTCCCCCAATGAAAATTAAGTTTCCCTTTCTTTAAACCACTTTAACATTTTAAGCTTTTTGTGTGGTACTTACCATAATGTGCTTTATGTTATAGCAAGTAGTTCTTGACTAATCTTCACTACTGAGTTGTAAGCAGCTTGAGGCAGGAGCCCAAGTCTTTATATTCCTTACAGATTCCTTTAGGATCTTCAAATTAATGCATAATGATTTTGAGTAAAACAGAATTCAAAAAAAGATTCCTGTAATAATATTGTGGAAATGAAACAAAGCCTTATGTTATCTCAGCAATGAGAAATCCATCAAGGTTACTGGCATCTCAGCTCTATTATAAGGACACAGGTGTTAAACATGAGCAGCTACCATCATCCATTAATCACCACACCATTCTGGTATCTCTATTTTAGGAAGCAGAGATTGATAATACTGGAGTTAGATGCCATTTTGGATTCTTTTCCCTTTCTCATAAATGGGGCCTGGAATATGATGACATAAAACTTCCAGATGTACTTTCGTCCTGTTTAACCTGCAATGAAACACTCAGTTGGCATGGAACCCACTGTTAATAAGTCAGTGGCCCACAATGTAGCTGCTTATCCAAACATGACTTCAAGAGCAAAGACTAGTTAAAATTTTTAAGTATATCCATCACCTAGTCAGATGGATTGAAAATTTCAAACCTTCAATTGTTATTCTGTTGGAAAGTGATTTTAGGTTTTGTTGATGAGTATTTTCTAGATACTTTTAACCTAATAGTTAAAAACCACCCAAAGGACAATGATTGTATGTTTTAGTAGTTGGGAAAAAAAAAAAAAAAAACAGGGATTTTTTAAAAGCTAAATAGTTTGGGTTACTATGCAACATTTCATTGGTATTGCTACAGGCTATAATCATAGTCTTTTAATGGTTCTCCTTTTAAAAATGAATTCATAATGCTTTGTAACATTAGAATTATTAGAAACATGTATATAATGGCAATGATAATGCTAATATACATTTAAATAGAGCTTTATGGTTCACAAAGCTGTAACAGCAATGCTAGAACACTTTTCTAACAGCAAAGCAATAGGTCCCCAACTGGGGAAGTCCCTTGAGTGTTATAAAGAAGTCCAAGGGGATCCAGGAGGCCATAGTGGCTGTTTGAAAGAAGAGAATAGCAAAAATCAAAGTAGGTTTTTAGAGGAGGCTTCAGGGTCACTGCTATCTCTCTGTTACTAAAGGTTTATACCCAGGAGGCTAAAAGTAAGTATGAAAGTTGGTGATTAAGGGTAACAGAAATATGCCACCCCAAAATATGCTACTTTGGAATATTGATGATTTTGAGCTGAAAGCACTTGAAAAACAGCAAATGCAGGAAGAAGCTTTCTCTAAACAACCCTTGTTTACCTAAACATAAATCCTTTAAAAGGAACTCAAGTGTCATAAATGCCCTCCCTGGGAGTGTCATCAACAGGGAATGACTCTCATCACAGGAGAAGAGACTAGAAGTGAGCACCACATCCAGACAAACTTTGTCTCAAAACATCACACCTCTCATGTAGTCTACCAAAGGCCATTCATCTTTCATAAATATGATTTACTCTCCCCTAAGAGGCCTACTTCCCCTCCCCACTTTCCAAATTAGATGGCTTTTAATCCTGATTTCTAAAGCCACCTCTTTGAGTTACTCATTTTTCCCAGGGTATCTCCCATGCATACATGAGGTATACATGTTGATAAAAAATTTTACATATAAATACTGATAGTTAGAGGAAGTAGAATCAGCAGCATGAGGGAATAGGAGGTCCTCTCATAGAAACAACAATTTGGCAGCCATCCATGCACAAAATACCTTTGTGAGAACTTTGGGATCCTAGTTGTGAAATTCTGGCAGAGTCTAAGACTGAATAAGAATGCTTTCAAGAGGCACACCTGGGTGGCAACTCTTGATTTCAGCTCAGGTCATGATCTCAGGGCCTTGAAATCAAGCCCCACATCGGGCTCCACACTGGGCATGGAGCCTGCTTAAGATTCTCTCTCTCTCTCTCTCTTTCTCTCTCTCTCCTTCTACACCTCCCTGCCCCCCTTAAAAAAATAAAAAAATTAAAAATTGAAAAAAGAATGCATTTAAGAGACAGGGCTATATCTCAGTGCTTGGTCAACCAACTGTTGTCCTGTCTGCATTCCTGAAAGCAGCCTATCCCCTGAAGACTTGACTCCAGTACTATGAAGGTACAAGACAAAGATGCTCATTCTCACCACTTCCATTCAACATAGTACTGGAAGTCCCAGCCAGAGCAATTAGACAGGAAAAAGAAATAAAAATAACCACATCAGAAAGGAAGAAGTCAAATTATCTCTATTTACAGATGATAAGATCATATGTTAGAAAATCTTAAAGACTAAACATAAAAAAAGCCTGTTGGAACTAATGAATGGACTCAGTAAAGTTGCAGAATACAAAATCAGCATACAAAAATCAGTGGCATTTCTATACACAAACAATGAACTCTCTGAAAAGGAATTTTTCTCTTTCCCCTCATCAGATTTACCAGGAAATTAATTTCCCCACAAATAAATAAATAAATAAACTAGCTAACTAACTGAATATTTGATTTAATTATTAGTTCTGTTTATTTTTATGAATAATTAAATTCTATATTTATATGTAATATTTTTTAAAGGTTTATTAATTTGAGAGGGAGAGAGCAGGTGCACACGTGAGTGGGGGGAGGGGCAGAGGGAGAGAATCCTCAAGCAGACTTCCCGCTGATCAGGGAGCCCCATGCAGGCCTGGAACTTATGATCCATGAGATCACAACCTGAGCCAAAACCAAGAATTGGGCGCTCAACTGACTGAGCCACCTATGCGCCCCTGTATAACATTTTTAAAATTAATTTTATTAAGATTGTGTTTTATTTTTGATACATTTGTAATTTCGGGGAGAAGTCACACTTATAAATAAAAGATAATCACTAAAAGGTAAACAACTCAGAACAAAGTTATGTTCCCTAAATAATGATAGACAAGATTGTATAATTATTTGTTCCTCATTGCAATGCCCACCAAAGGGGTTTCATCTAAGTCCAGCTGCAAAATTTCCATAGACCACACTTGGCAACAGATTACCTTAGAATAACATAAATTAGGAAATACATCTTGCCAGCAGGGTAGTGTTGATTATTTTTCTTCAGTGTGACTTGGACTTGCAGCATTCATTTGGAACATAGGTCACATGTAAGGAGATCATACCTTATATGGGGTGGGTACAAAAGCCTACCTGGCTTAGAAGCCTAGTGACCTAAAGGAGCTAGTATCACTTGTAACAACTTCAAAAGTGTAACTTCCAGGTCCCCAAAGAGAAAGCTCCAATTATAGGAATGACTGCACTCAGAGAAGCTCAAAGACATGGCTTCTTTTCATACATTTATTGTTCTCCCAGGCCAGTGACATTTACTACTCAAGGGTCATTTTACCATAAGCTGTGTTGCCTGGAAACATACTTAACATTCTAACTTTATCACCTTTCCAGGAGAACAGAGCTGTAAATTAACCAAAAGCCAAAATCTCATTCAGAATAGGTATTTAAAAAGATAAGTCCTATGATGTTTTATCCAATTAAATAGACACAAACGTAGTATGTTTTATCCTATCTGTATAACTTAAAATTCCAAACTCAAATCCTATTTTCTTCTTGTGTTCTCCATTTTTTACAGGTAAAATATGGAAATTATGCTTTTGTATGGGATGCAGCCGTATTGGAATATGTGGCTATCAATGACCCAGATTGTTCATTTTATACCATCGGGAACACGGTTGCTGATCGGGGATATGGAATTGCACTGCAACATGGAAGTCCTTACAGGGATGTTTTTTCACAAAGGTAAGGTTTTTGTGTGCTCCAAGTAAAGAGAGACAAAAAAACAGAAAAAGAAAATCCACTTGGTTACACATGTAGTTTTATTACATTTTGTTTTCTTTGTTTGGAAAAGCATAGTAAACAACAACAATAAAAGGTAGTTATAAATGTTATTTAATAAGACATGCATTTCCTAAAGCATGTACTATTATTTTTCCATAAAAAGGGAAAAATATTGCTGCATAGAACTGGTTTTTACTCCTTACACAAAAGTTGATATACAAAAGGAAGTAGTATGTTAATAATTTCTTTAGAACCTAATTAGCAGTTTACTTTCTGAATTTTAAATATCATAGAGTTGGCAAAATTAGTTCCTTTCAAGAACACCAAAGCATAAAATAAACTTCAGGACCAAGTCAAAGTTCTGATGTACTGAGGCACATAATGACAGGAATATTTCCATCTGAATTTTGCAAAAGAAAAGGATAAGAATTTTAGAGTCCCTCATGCGGCGTCAAAGTACATGAGACTTTGTCATGGAATTAAGGGGATGGTTTTATTAAGAAATTATACCTATCCCCACATTAGAATTTTCTTATATAAGTTTTTTAAGAAAAAAGATTTTGAAATGTATACTTCAGATGAACAATGTATATGAAAGGCATGGGCCTGCGAGGCACTCCCTAAGATCACTGCATTTCATTCTATCTACTACCAAACAAGTGTGGGCCTAAGGGAGAGCAGGATCTTTCAGGTAGGCCTATATTTCACTTGACACTGATAGTGCATGTTGTTTATTTTCCAGATATTTTTCTAGCTATTTTCTAAAAGCCAATGCCAGACCTAGAGGGCAGTACCAGGTAACACTAAGGCCCCAAATTTCAAACTATTTGAGTTGCATTCCTCCAAATTTTAGGATAGCAAAAAGCCAGATATTTTGTGTTAAGCAAAACAAAAACAAAAACAAACAAAGAACAAAAACCTAAGTCAGCAGTCTAGAATTTATGTTAAAACTCTTCCATTAGCTAACAAAAAAAAATCTAGGCCTCTCTCTTTATCTACAAAGTGGAAGTTAGATTAACCCCAAGGTCTTATATTAGTCAGCCCTTCTGTGTAGCAAACAACCCCAAAGCATCAGTGACTTTTTTGCTTTCGTGAAACGTAGGGCTGTGATTTGGCGGAATTGTGCTGCAAGCTGCAGGTCACCTGCACGTCTTCCTGGGCCGCTTCTCATTCCAGGGCCAGGCTGGAAAAGCGGCCCTATCTGAGACAAGCTGTTTTCATGGCAATGAGAAGTTGCAGAAGGGGATGCCAGAAACCTGCAGTATTTCCTGCGCTTCTTGCATGGATGTGGCATATGTCACATCTGCTTACAAACCACTAACAAAAGAGTCTCATGGTCAAGCCCAAATCGATGGGGTTAGGAACTGTACTTCACATAAAGGGAAGAAGAGAGTAAATAATTCTGAACAATAATACAATCTACCAGTGGTCCCTTAGGGCTCTAGAAAAATCTAAAACTGACAAAAATGAAATAAGCATAAATTGGGAAGTAAAATATTAAGGTGTAAATAATGATTAATCAATTAAAACACACTTATTGATGGGTGGATTCTAAGGGGAACAAATTGGAAAATCAGTTATGCCATAGAGAATTTACCTGGAAGACACTTGCAGTCTAGTGGGAGATACATGGCCCACACACGTGAAACAATGAACAATACAGATATTTCTATAAATGTGTGCTGACATTCATATATGTACAATATCAGTATGGCTTATTTATATTGCCTTAAATTGTGTAATTGAGATATTAAAAGAATTGAATACTATATGGAATAAAGAGTTAATCAAAGGAAACATGAATGAAAGCTCTCCAGAGAAGGTGAGCCCTGAATTTGACCTTGAAGGATTAGTAGAGATTAGTTAGACCGAAAGGAAAAAATAGATAATTCTTAGAGAAACAATGAAGACAACAGGATAGAAGTAGGAGAAAGCAGAATATGTTGAAGAGCAACAAGGGTGGCAAGTTAATTTGAAAGGAAATTTGAAGTTTGGAAGTCATATTGTAGGCCACAAGCAGCCTTGAAACTTATTGTCCATTCTGGAGCCTAGGAGTAAAATGAAGAAGACAGTTTCTAAGGAAGGGTTAATCTAGTTTTGAGATGAAGATTGACGAAGACTAGAGCAAACCTGGAAGCATGAGACAAGGAAGGCTGAGTTCAGAACTGGGCAACGGAGAATGAGGAAGAAGGAACGAATAGAGGATATATTTCTAGGCAAAGAGGCACACCATTGTTTTCATTAACTCAGAAGTGAGGGTGGAAGGCATAATAGAATGAAGGGGATGCCAAAGTTTATGGAGAAAGACCAGTAGAAAAGTCTAATGGATACTGAACATGAACCATGTTGTTGAAAAAAAGGATCATTTATTCCTTAGTTGTGGTTAATTGGGTTTTTCTTCACTACAGATTTTTGTTTGTTTCCAGACGCGATTTCTAGATTTTTATGCAAAAGAAGCTAATAAAATCAATATACAGACATAATAGCGATTAAAGAAATAGTTAATAAATCACACTAAGTGTTCCATTTCTTATCATCCCTATGGTGATTTACCTAAGAGAGATTGTAATTCTCAGAAAGTCCACTCCAGTGAACTGCTGAAAAATAATATTAAGCATTGAGCACTATTTTTCCTTTTATTTGCATTATGGATATAGACAATTTAAAATTGTCCCTTTCTGTGGAGTTCCTTAATAATGACATCTATATCCTGGTTCCCTGGACATCTGGGAGAAGGGAGATCCAGGAAAGAAATGTGCTCTAGCAATTGGTGATATGCAGCGCATCTCGTTATATACGTGTGCCACAGTAATCTATTATCCAAACTCTCTCCCTGAATTCAGAAAATATCCACTTTCATTTTCCTATGCTGTGGCCATTAGGGAAAAGAGATCTCTTTTTTATTAACTGATTTAAAAATTATAAAGAACCATAAATTTTAATCATTGTAGGACACCTTAGAAATTATTATAAATAACTTTATTTTTTTATTTTATTATGTTATGTTAGTCACCATATGTTACATCATTAGTTTTTGATGTAGTGTTACATGATTCATTGTTTGCCTATAACACCCAGTGCTCCATGCAGAACGTGCCCTCCTTAATACCTATCACTTGGCAAACCCATCCCCCCACCCCCCTCCCCTCTAGAACCCTGTTTGTTTCTCAGAGTCCACAGTCTTTCATGGTTCATCTCCCCCTCCGACTCCCCCCCTTCATTTTTCCCTTCCTACTATCTTTTTTTTTAACATATAATGTATTATTTGTTTTTTTAATTTTATTTATTTTTACTTTTTTTCTTTAAATTTTTATTGTTATGTTAATCACCATACATTACATCATTAGTTTTTGATGTAGTGTTCCATGATTCATTGTTTGTGCATAACACCCAGTGCTCCATGCAGAACGTGCCCTCTTTAATACCCATCACCAGGCTAACCCACCCCCCCCCCCCCCCACTCCAGCAACCCTCAGTTTGTTTCCTGAGATTAAGAGTCTCTTATGGTTTGTTTCCCTCTCTTTTCATCTTGTTTCATTTTTCCCTCCCTTCCCCTATGATCCTATGTCTTGTTTCTCAAATTCCTTATATCAGTAAGATCATATGATACTTGTCTTTCTCTGATTGACTTATTTCACTTAGCATAATACCCTCTAGTTCTATGCATGTTGTTGCAAATGGCAAGACTTCAGTGTTTTTTTGATGGCTGCATAATAGTCCATTGTATATACATATCACATCTTCTTTATTCATTCATCTGTTGATGGACATCTTGGCTCTTTCCATAGTTTGGGTATTGTGGACATTGCTGCTATAAACATTGGGGTGTAGTTGCCCCTTTGGATCACTACATTTGTATCTTTGGGGTAAATACCCAGTAGAGCAATTGCTGGGTCATAGGGTAGCTCTGTTTTCAACTTTTTGAGGAACCTCCATACTGTTTTCCAGAGTGGCTGCACCAGCTTGCATTCCCACCAATAGTGTAGGAGGGGTTCCCCTTTTCTCCACATCCTCACCAACATCTGTCGTTTCCTGACTTGTTAATTTTAGCCATTCTAACTGGTGTGAGGTGGTATCTCATTGAGGTTTTGATTTGGATTTCCCTGATGCCGAGCGATGTTGAGCACTTTTTCATGTGTCTGTTGGCCATTTGGATGTCTTCTTTGGGAAAATATCTGTTCATGTCTTCTGCCCGTGTCTTGATTGGATCATTTGTTCTTTGGGTGTTGAGTTTGATAAGTTCTTTATAGATTTTGGATATTAGCCCTTTATCTGATATGTCATTTGCAAATATCTTCTCTCATTCTGTCGGTTGTCTTTTGGTTTTGTTCACTGTTTCCTTTGCTGTGCAAAAGCTTTTTATCTTGATGAAGTCCCAATAGTTCATTTTTGCCCTTGCTTCCCTTGCCTTTGGCGATGTGTTTAGGAAGAAGTTGCTGCAGCTGAGGTCGAAGAGGTTGTTGCTTGTGTTCTCCTCAAGGATTTTGATGGATTTCTGTCTCACATTAGGTCTTTCATCCATTCTGAGTCTATTTTTGTGTGTGGTGTAAGGAAATGGTCCAATTTCATTCTTCTGCATGTGGCTGTCCAATTTTCCCAACACCATTTGTTGAAGAGACTGTCGTTTTTCCATTGGACATTCTTTCCTGCTTTGTCAAAGATTAGTTGACCATAGAGTTGAGGGTCCATTTCTGGACTCTCTGTTCTGTTCCATTGATCTATGTGTCTGTTTTTGTGCCAGTACCATACTGTCTTGATGATGACAGCTTTGTAATAGAGCTTGAAGTCTGGAATTGTGATGCCACCAGCTTTGCTTTTCTTTTTCAACATTCCTCTGGCTATTCAGGGTCTTTTCTGGTTCCATACAAATTATAAATAACTTTAATACATCAATTTATCTTAGGCCTTTGATTACACTAGATCACTGATTGCTAGTATAATTACTTTCAATGAAAATGAAA